AACTCTGAAGAGACATAGGGCAAACAGACTTCTCCGATTGTAAAGTGTCTATCAACTTCAATGTGTTTTGTCGTATCATGCTGAATTGGATTGTGGGCAATATTGATTGTAGCCTGATTGTCACAATATAACATCATAGGTTCCTCTGCTTTCACCCCAATCTCACTCAAAAGAGATCTAACCCAAAGAAGTTCTGAGATACCATGAGCCATGAATCTATATTCAGCCTCTGCACTTGACCTTGCCACAACTGCTTGCTTCTTACTCTTCCAGGAGATCAAGTTTCCACCTACAAAGGTACACACTCTTGATGTAGACTTCCTGTCATCTAAGCATCCTGCCTAGTCTGTATCTATATAGGACTCTAGCTTCAGATTCTCATGATTTGAGAAAAAAATTCCTCTGCCAGGGTGCTTTTTCAAATATGCAAGTATCCTCTCAATAGCTTCCCAGTGCTAAACCTGAGGTGCATGCATGTACTGACTCACAACACTGACAGCATAAGAAATATCTGGTCATGTCATACACAAATACAACAACCGGCTCACTTTTCTTTGATATCTCCCCACATCCTTTACCAACTCACCATCCACACCATTAACTCTGTGATTTGGATCAATAGGAGCGTCTGTTGGTTTGGTCCCCAGCTTCCCAGTCTCCCGCAATAGGTCAAGTACATACTTCCTCCGTGAAATGAAGATCCCATGCTTGGATCTTGCAACTTCAATCCCTAAGAAGTATTTGAGCTCACCAAGATCTTTGATCTCAAATTCTTGCTACAATGATTTTTTGAGATCATCAATCTCCTCCAGATCATTTCCTATCACCACTATATCATCCACATACACAATCAGAATTGACACTAGAGCATCTCTCCTCTTTACAAAGAGAATGAGATCAGACTGTGTCTATGTGTATCCAAAACGGATGAGTGCCCATCTGAACCTGTCAAACCAAGCCCTAGGTGATTGTTTCAGTCCATACAAAGATTTTCTAAGTCTGCACACCTTTCCCTTACCAACGTTCTCATAAAAGCCTGTTAGAATGTCCATATATACCTCCTCCTGTAAATCACCATTGAGGAAGGCATTTTTGACATCAAGATGGAACAAAGGCCATGAATAGGTGGCTGCTAGACATAAAAGGATACGAACTGAACTCATATTAGCTACTAGTGCAAAGGTTTCCAGATAATCAACACCATAGGTCTGAGCATACCCTTTTGCTACCAACCTTGCCTTGTACCTCTTTATCTTGCCATCAGCCTTATACTTCACTGTGAATACCCATCTACATCCGACTGTCTCCTTGTCTGGGGGGAGATCAACTATTTCCCAAGTTTGGTTTTTAACCAAAGCATCAATCTCATCTTGCATGGCTGTTTTCCACTCAGGTTTGGAGAGAGCCTTAGTAACATTCCTGGGTATAGACACAGAATCCAGGGAAGAAAGAAAAGTATGGTAGGAGGGTGATAAGGCACTATAGGAAAGATGGTGTGAAATGCAATGGGCTGTACACTTTTTCTTCCCCTTACGAAGTGCAATGGGAAGATCAAGGTTAGTGGGATCAGTTGCAACAATGGTGTTAGGGACAAAAACATTATCATCAGAAAACATAACAGGCTCAGGCTCAAGAGGAATACCTGGAACTGTATCTGCCAAATCTGGAGTTTCAGAAGGACTGATAGAGAGTGGTGTGGGTTGAGGATGTGTGGAGTCAACCATCATCTGCCGGCGCTGGTATTTTTGTGAGGCTGCTAGTAGTGGCTCATGTAATGAAACTGGAGGTGCAGGTGCTGGTTGAATTGATGAAGGTGCTGGTTGAACTGATGAAGGCACCAAAGAAACAGGAAGAGGAACAAATTGTGAGTTATCCTTCCGAAAATTCTCCCCCTAAGGAGAACCACTCGAGAAGAAGAAGGCGGATTCAAAGAAGGTAACATCCATTGTGACAAATCTGCTCCTCGACACTGGGTCATAACAGCAATACCCCTTTTGGTTCTAAGCATACCCAAGAAAAACACATTTCTTGGCCTTAGGATTCAATTTCTTGCGATTAGCGCCAAGAATGTGAATAAAGGAAACACACCCAAAAACCCTTAGATGTATATGAAATATCTCCTCATCTGGAAAAAGCAGACTAAATGACACCTTAAACTCTAAAGTCCGTGAAGGAACACGGTTAATCAAATGCACGGTTGTAAGAACTGCATAGGAACTGAAGCACACACCATAAGACTCCTTGCCACCTTCACAATGTGTCTGTTTTTTCTCTTAGCAACTCCATTCTGTTGTGGTGTATATGCACAACTGCTCTAATGAATTACCCCATGTTCTAGGAAATACGTGGTTAGGTCCTTCTCAAAGTACTCTCTGGCATTATCTGATCTAAAAACCTTAGTTCTCACTCCAGATTGTGTGAGAACCATCTGGTGGAACTATTTTACCAAGTTAGGAACCTCATCACGTGATCTCATCAAATATATCCAAAAATATCATGTATAATCATCAACAAACAAGAGAAAGTAACAGAATCCTCCCATGGAAGGGATATGATATGGCCCCCATACATCAGTGTGAACAATATTAAAAGCAAAAGTACTTTTTTTATTACTTGGTTTAAAGGACTGCCTACAATGCTTTCCTAACTGACAACTCTCACACTCCAAAATAGATAACTAAACAGATTCAAACAACTTTGGGAAAAGACATTTCAAAGAACTAAAAGAAAGGTGTCCCAAGCGATTGTGCCAGAGCATAATCTGGTTCACTGACTTTGACCCACTACTACTGTTGCTGCTAACATGATGGCCCTGATGTCTCAAAATCTCATCTAGAAGGTAGACTCCATTCATCTCATGACCACTCCCAATCATCTTCTTTGACTCCAGATCTTGCGAAACATAATTATCAAGAAGAAAGGTCATAGAACAATTCAAATTCTTTGTTAAAGAACTAACAGACAATAGGTTAGTATGAACTCTAGGGACATGTAAAACAAAAGATAGAGTTATATCATTGGTCACTCTAGTTGTCCCTTTCCCAGCAATGGGAATATGTGAACCATCTTCTGTAGAGACTCTGTCTCTACCAAAACACAACTGATAGGAACTGAAAAGTGTAGGGGCATTAGTCATGTGCTTAGATGCTCCTGAGTCTATAATCTAGGGAGGTCCCTCCTTACCTGAAGTGGATGCAAGATTTGCAGTTGCATATGAACTACCTATATGTGCAAAGGAAGAGGTGTAGCTAGCTCCTGCATTTTGTTGTCCATCTGGAAGGCTAGTGCTAGGTGAATCTTTCTTACCCATAAGTTGTCCAAACCTCTCCAATTCTGTCCTCACTGCTGCTACTGCAATGGATTCCCAATCCGTTTGGGAAAGAGGGGCTGAAGAATCTCCTATAGTGGCTACATTTGCATTTCCCTTCTTGTTCCTTATCCGAGCAGGCATAAGATTTGGATGAAGCTTCCAGCAAGTGTCCCTAGTATGCTTAGGCTTCTTGCAATAATCACACACCAAGTCCTTATCTTCCCTTCTACTCTCACTACTCCCCCTGTCTCCATTCGGCTTAGGTTTTGCTGTACCAACCATAACTGACTGGTTAATGTTAGGCTGTCTCAGCATTACATTCCTCCTACTCTCCTCTCCAGAGACAAAGGCATAGGCTTGAGAGAGTGTCATGCCCTCCCTAGAAAGAATATGCTGCCTAGCAACGTCGAATTTAGGGTTCAGCCCTGCCAAGAACTCAAAAACCCTATTCCTCTCTACCAGTCTGTGATAGGTTGCTGCGCCATAGGGTTTTCAGCATGGAGAAATACATAGCAAGAGGTTTTTTCCCCTGTTTCATACTTATCACCTGATTCCTTAACTGATAGGCTCTGGCTTCATTTTGYTTYTGAGAGTAGGTTTYAGTCACTCCATCCCAAATCTCCTTGGCAGTATTAGCCCATAGGAAATTTTTTGCAATATGAGGTAATATAGAATTACACAGCTAGGACATTACCATGTAATTCTCCTGCACCCATCAGGAAGAGTCTGTATCAGGTTTCTTCTCCTCCCTAGTGAGATACCCTAATTTTCCACGGGCACCAATAGCCATCTTAATTGATTGTGCCCACTCCAAATAATTTGTACCATCAAGTTTTACTGTAGTAATGATCCCAAACCCAAAAATATCACTACTACCTCCAACACMYAGTCCCAYAGTAYCGGTAGATTTCATCTCGGTATTCCAACTCTCCATCTTACTTCAAACAGTTCAACAATAAGAAAAAATAGATTGGAAACCTTCCAAAAATAATTTAATATCACACACACATAGAAACAAACCCTTTCGGAAGAAGAAAACTCTAGCTGGAGAGAAATCTCTCTCCTCCCAATAGAGAGAAGAGTGAATCGATCACTCCAGGAGGCTTAGAAAAATCCATAAACCAAACCGCACTCTTCAGAAAATCAAAAGAAAGCTAACAATACCTGACCGCCCAAGATCAGATAAAAAACAAAGAGTCCAACTTTTCTGGGACTCTTCCCCATACTCCAGTTCTTCCTGATTTTGATGCCGAACAGTAAATCACCTTCCTGATGACTAGATCCCACCAAAAGATCCAAGAATTGGGCAATCTACAGTAGATCGATCAGCCCTTTATTACTTCATGCAGTTGGCTGATCTAGGGCTGCATGAGAATGCTTCTAGAAACCCTAGTCGCTTCTTTGATACCAAGTAGAAAGCTTGCTGAATTTAAAAATATGAAATAAAAGGAGTTTGTTGAAGAAAGAAGGAAGAGAGAATGAGAAGAAGAGAAGTTCAAAAGAAAGGAGAGCAATAATCTGGCTGCCCCCTTCACTTATTATTTATATTAAAAATAATAGAGCAGTACAAAGACAACTATGCCCTTATAGGGCGGCAMRACATAAARCARCATATATAAGACACAAAAACATAATAAAATTTGGACTCACATAACTATTGTGGTCCCCACCTCCTATCTAACAACTAACATAAAACATCTACTCATAAAAAACATCATAAAACTGATTAATCTTCAACAAATAGACAAAAATAATCCTATAGAAAACTAATACACCTGTATTTTATGGCAAGATGTAACATTTTAGCATCTTTTATGCACAACCTTATTATTGATCTTCATGGAAGAATGCCATCCTAGGAATACATATGAGTTTTCCAAAACCTTAAAATTTTACAGTTGGGCCTTAGTTGATGTTTCAATAAAAGAGAAGCTAATTTCTTTTAACAGAATTGATTACTTTGTTTTAATTTGGTGCTTGATAATATATTGATTTTGCAAATCATGTTGTAGGTGGAAGGAGAGATTGTAATAAATGGGGGCTTGAAACATGAGAAAAAAGGCGAAAGCAAAGAAGAAGAGGAAGAGACTGCTCTTGACGGAGGATTCATAAAAGTAGAAAAGGAAACAGTAGATGTAAAGGATGGTGCCCACAAAACTGAAGGAGAAGCCACCTCAGAAGAAGGAGGTAGCTCTGCTTTAGACAGAAGTTCAAGCAATCTGATGGCAAACAGAGATTTATTAGAATCCCAAGAGAAAGTGAAGGAACTTGAGTTGGAATTAGAAAGAGTGGTTGAAGCATTGAAGCATTCTGAATCAGAAAACACTCATTTGAAGGAGGAACTTCTACTTACCAAGGGGAAATTGGATGGAAGTGTGAAGCTCTGTGAAGACCTTGAGGTCAACAAGAAAAGGGTTGAGGAACAGATCTTACAAAATGAGGAGAGGTACAATTTACAGATCAACACTCTGCAAGAGGCACTGCAAGCCCATGAGGAAAAACACAAGGACCTGATCAATGTAAAAGAGGCATTTGATGGTCTAACTTTTGAACTTGAGAACTCACGAAAGAAGGTGCAAGAATTGGAGCAAGAACTGCTGTTATCAGTAGGTGAGATGAAGAAGTTTGAGGAGCTGAGTAAGCAAAGTGATTCATATGCTGAATCAGAGACAAAGAAGGCCTTAGAATTTGAGAGGTTGCTAAAATTGGCAAAAGTAAATGCACAAGAAATGGAAGTTCAGATGGCTTCCCTACAAGAAGAAGTTAAGGGTCTGTATGAAAAGATTGCTGAAAATGAGCGTGTTGAAGAATCACTTCGGACTACTGCTGCAGAGCTTTCTGGAGTTCAAGCAGAACTGGAGATTTCAAGAGCACAGAAACTAGATTTGGAGAAGATGCTTTCTTCCAAGGAAGCTAACATAAATGAACTGACTAAAGAACTGGATCTGCATAAAACTTCTGAAGCACAGATGAAGGAAGATATACTGGCTCTAGAGAATCTGTTCTCTTCAGTGAAAGGAGATCTTCAGGCAAAGAATGATGAATTGGAAGAAATCAAGTTGAAGCTGCATGAGGAAGTGAAGAGTAGGGAGCTGGTTGAAGTTGATTTGAGAAGCCGGGAAACACAAATATCAAGTGTACAAGAAGAATTGGCTAAAGTGATTGTAGAGAAAGAAACTCTGGAAGCAACTGTCGCAGATCTTAATAGTATGGTTATGCAAACGAAAGAGTTGTGTGGTGATCTTGAGAACAAATTGAAGCTATCAGATGAGAATTTCTGTAAATCAGATTCTCTTCTGTCTCAGGCTTTGTCGAGTAATGCAGAGCTGGAACAGAAGTTAAAGTCTCTTGAGGAGCTCCAGCAAGAATCGGGTACTTTAGCTGCTACTGCTACACAAAAAAACCTTGAACTTGAGGATATCATCAAAGCTTCAAATGCAGCAACAGAAGAAGCAAAATTACAGCTAAGAGACACTGAGATGAGACTGATATCTGCAGAACAGAAGAATGTGGAGCTTGAGCAACAGCTAAACTTGGTGGAGCTAAAAAGTAATAATGCTGAAAGAGAGCTGAAAGAATACTCTCAGAAAACATCTGAACTAACAGCTATACTGGAAAGGATTGAAGAAGAAAAGACATTGTTGAAAAGCCATGTGCAAGAGTATGAAGGTAAGATAACCCAATTGGAATCTTTTCTAAACCAGGCATCTTTGAGGAGTTCAGATCTCGAGTTAGAATTGAAGAATGTTTCTGAGAAATGTTCTGAACATGAGGACAGAGCCAATACAAGCCATCAACGCAGCATTGAACTCGAAAACTTGATTCAGACAACTCACTCCAAAGTGGAAGATGCTGGAAAAAAGGTTGTTGAATTAGAATCATTATTGCAAGCTGCAAATCACAGAGCAGAGGAGCTTGAAGAACAAATAAACACACTAAAAGTGAAATACAATGATGCAGAACTAGAATCTAATCAATTCTCCTCCAAGGTCTCTGAACTTACAGCAGAACTAGAGACTTTCCAGACAAAAGCATCAGGACTTGAAATTTCACTGCAAGCATCAGATGAAAAGGAGAGGGAATTGAAAGAATTCTTGAATGTAATTACAGAAGAAAAAAGAAAGTCTGACGAGGAATTAATCAGTTCAACGAAGAAGCTTGCTGAAGCTGAAAATCTGCTGGAGGTCTTGCAGAATGAACTTAAATCAACCCAAGAAAAATTGGAGAACATTGAGCAAGAACTTAGGGTTTCTGGAATTAAGGAGAATGAGGTATTGGAGAAGCTTAAATCTGCCGAGGAGCAGTTAGAGCAACAAGGAAAATTAATAGAACAGGCAACCACAAGAAACACAGAGCTTGAGGCATTACATGAATCTCTTGTCAGGGATTCAGAGCTAAAACTCCAAGAAGCAATGGTACACTTCACCAATAAGGATTCTGAGACTAAATCTCTCTATGAGAAACTGAAGATTCTCGAAGATGAATCAAAGACATATGAAGAGAAGGCTGCTAAGGAAACCGAGAAATCGAATTCTTTGAAAGTTGAATTGGATCAGAGTTTGGTGAAGCTGATGGCTCTGGAAAGTACAATTGATGACCTCAAGGCAAAGATCTTGGAAGTTGAAGATAGAGCTGCTCAGTCTTTCTCAGAAAATGAACTGCTATCTCAGACGAATTTACAGCTCAAGACAAAAGTAAATGAGCTTCAGGAATTTCTAAATTCTGCTTGTGATGAAAAGGAAGCCACTGCTCAAATGCTTGCTTCTCACTTGAACACCATAGCTGAATTAACTGATCAGCACTCAAGAGTCTCTGAACTTCAATCTGAAACTGAATTTCGTGTGAAGGAAGCAGAAAGACAATTACAAGAATCGATTGAGCGATACGCTCTAAAAGATTCAGAAGCTAAAGACTTGACTGAAAAGCTAACTGCACTGGAAATCCAAGTAAGAAAATTTGAAGAACAGGCTCATGAATTATCTGCTCTTTCTGAAACTCAAAAAGCTGAGTTAGAAGGTTCTTTGTTGAAACTAAAGAATTTGGAAAGTGATTTTGAAGAAATGAGAACTAAGGCAAGTCACTACGAAAAGGAGAGTGAAGGACTAGCTGAAGTAAACTTACAACTCAAAATGAAAGTAAATGAGCTTCAGGAACTGCTAGCTTCTGCATCTGATGAAAAGGAAGTCACTGCTCAAATACTGGCTTCTCACATGAACACCATAGCTGAATTAACTGATCAGCATTCAAGAGTGTCTGAACTTCAATCTGAAACTGAATGTCGTATCAGGGAAGCAGAAAAACAATTACAAGAATCCATAGAGCAATACATTCAAAAATATTCAGAAGCTAAAGACTTGAATGAAAAGCTAATTGCACTGGAAATCCAAGTAAGAAAACTTGAAGAACAGGCTGATGAGTCGTGTGCTCTTTCTGAAGCTCAAAAGGCTGAGTTAGAAGAGGCTTTGTTGAAACTAAAGCTCACGGAAAGTTCTTTTGAAGAAATGAAAACTAAGGCAACTCATTTTGAAAAGGAGAGCGAAGGACTAGCTGAGGCAAATCTGAAACTTACTAGGGAACTGGAAGCTTATGAATCTAATTTGAAAGAACTGCAAACAACATTTTCAGCAATTCTAACTGAGAAGGATGATGCAGTTGAACATCTTCAATCTTCAAAGAAGTATATAGAAGATTTGAAACAACAGCTTTCTTTGGAAGGACAACAACTTCAATCTCAGGTATAGCACTTCAAAGATAATTTCCTTTCCAATTTAGAAACTATCTCTGTTTGATTCTTAAACTTTGATGAACATGTGGAGGTTGTCATCATTGCATGATTTTCTAATCTGAGAAATGACTGGTTTTGCAGGTAGCTTCAGTAATGGAAGAGAACAGCCAGCTTAATGAAAAATACCATAGTGCGAAAAAAGAACTTGAAACAGAGAGAGTGCAGCTAGAAGAGCACAAGGAAAGGGAAAGCATTCTAAAGGTTGAGTTAGAAAATCTTAAGGCACACATCACTGAGAACTTTGTGGTGCAAACTCGTGTTGCTGAACTTGAAGAACAATTAAGGTTGGCTGAGTCTCGGCAGAAGGAAGAGGTACCTATGATACTAGTAATATGAGAAAGCATCATAAAAAATGTCCATAGAATCCAACTTTTTTGGGCTCAGATTTGACGACATGGTTAGATCATTCAAACTATGAATCACTAGACCATCCAGATTTTAGGAACCCCAAGTTTTATATTTTTCCAAAACCCTGTTGGACAGAAGTTGGTCTAGGCAGATCTCTTCGAATCAGCCAAGTTTCAGAAACCTGGACGCTATAAACTGGCCAGGTTTGACTAATTTTAGATTTACCATAGGGAAGGTTTTGAACCTGGGCCATTACCTAGGAAATTACATAAAAAACTACTGAACCACTTCTTTAGTTTCATGAGATGAACGATTGCAGAATGGTTTATGCCTGTATGGAGATACAATGCAACACTGTCAAAGGATAAATTACAATTATTTATGTTATTTATGATGTCATGCATTGCTGGTTCAATCAAATGGTTGGGATTTTTGACCCATGACATAATCCACTTTCTGGGTGGACAGTCCAATTCTGACAAAGTGGATATAATCTACATATTTGGATCAGTTGAACTTATGTGGCCAATAATGACAATTTTAATTTGTGTAGGTTGAAAGTGTTCGATCTATGGCTGCTGAAAAGGAGGAAAAGCTAGTTTCTGAATTGCAGGAATATGCACATAAACTTTGTGATAAAGAAGCTCTACATGAACAAGTGCAGCAACTTCAGAAGGAGTTAAAGCTTTCTCAAAATATCATAGCTGAAAAGGTTATTCCTTCTTTACATTTTAAGTCAATTTCTTATTATTTTCTTGTTGCTATTAGTGGCTAAAATTGTGATCCAGGCGTTTGTTTCTAGATACTTTATAAATAAGACATAATTATTGATCATATATAAAGAAATATTGGCATGATTGAGATGAACCAATCTTAGATTTCATGCCCTTGTCATTAAGCCCCTCAATAGGCACCACTTTATTGGCCCAGGTACAATGATTAAAACTTTGACATTAAGCCCCTTATAACCACTTGACCATCTCAATACTCCCTCTCAAGCTTAGCATAAATATTGAACTTGCCTAGCTTGCCAAGGTTGTCTTCCAATCTAAGCTTAGAGACACACTTGGTGAGATAATTGGTTAACTTCTCTCCTGATTTAACAAAAGATGGGCATACTTCTCTACTAGTAACAATTTTTCTAATAAGATGTTTCCCCGATCCAATGTGTTTAGTTCAATGATGCTAAACCAGATTGTGGGCAATATTAATGGTGGCTTCATGGGCTTGTCAAACTGTATTACCATCTTTGTCAAGAAGCTCTTAAGCGGCAATAAATTTGAAACTCCATGGGCCATGGCTTTGTACTCTGCCTTTGTACTAGAATAAGTAACTGTAGACTGTTCCTAACATCCAAGATATTGCCTCAAGCAATGTAGGCTTATACCCTAAGGTGACCGTGTTTACAATACAAAACTCCCTTCCCATGATAACCCTTCAAATAGCACATAATTCTATTCATAGCTTGCATATGAGATGTCCTCGACTTACAAATGAATTGACTCATTTACTAATAACAATAGGAAATATATGGCCTTATCAAGCATATATACGGTAACTGGCCTACCAATCTTTCAAACACTCACTTATCAGGGAGAATATCACCATCATCAATTCCCAATTCATGATTGTGATCTTTAGAATCTCAAAAGGCCTAACTCTTAACTTTCCTGTCTCCTGAAGATACTCTTCTTTGATCTTACCACTACATTTCCAAGAAAGTACTTGAGATCTTTAAGATTCTTGATTTTGAACTCTGATGCTGATAAAGTCTTGAACTTAGCAATTTAGGCAAGATCATCACCAATGACAACTATATCATCAGCATTAGTAATTAATATGGTCATCAGACTGCTTACCTTCTTTTTTTTTATCAGAAACTCAAGAAATTTTATTAAGATTAAAGAAAAATAGAGTACAACAAGAAGTTGTTAAGATAAAGACCCTTTACAACAAAGAACCCTCCATGCAATTAACATTGAGCCCAAAACAAATGATTTCTATGAACTCCACAGCTAATCCATCCATCAAACGATTAGCAGACCTCCTAACCCATCTTACATGGATTTCCATATTTCTTGATATTAACTTGAATCTTCTGAATTTGTTTCTCAATTGCCATAAAACCCATTCTCATTTTTTCAACCAACCAATGACTATTTTTGAATCCCCATCAACAATTAGCCTTGTAATTCCCATATTCTTAGCTTTTTGCACCCCAACAATAGCAGCCATGAATTCAGCTCTCACTGAATCACCTTGATCAATAGGACCTGAAAACAAACCACAAATATTCTCACTCCCATCTCTGAACACTCCACCGATTCCGGAAGGCCCTGGATTGCCAAAGCTACTTCCATCAAAGTTCAGCTTCATCCACCTTCCACTTGGGGAACACCAAGCCTCCAGGACCTTTTGTTTCCTAGAAGAAGAAAGAGAAATCGACCTCTAGTTTCAGAAAAATATTCCTTCGAGAAATCTGAGAATAATTTCAAAGTTTTCACCCAATGTGCAACTCTTACAGTAACAGTCTCCAATATTGTCTCCTTATTTCTCTCTCTCCTCAAAGATTCTTAAGTTTCTTTCCTCCCAAACTGATCACACCACTGCTGCCCTTGCACGCTTCCATAAGATTCTACCTTTTCTCTTTGTGCTTCTCAGAAAAGATGGGCTAAAGAGTCCTTCCAAGCTGACAGGAGGGATCCACCTGCAACCAAAAAGAGAGAGGAATCATTCTCAAATACAACAAGAAAAGGGACAAGAGATTAAAAGATGAAAGCATCCTCACCATTCAATTTGAACTGCCTACCCTCTTTATGAAGAGAGTATGATGAGCATGGAGTTTGTTTGAACCAATCTTCTGAGTACATCTAAACCTGTTAAACCATGCCCTAGGAAACTGCTTAAGACCCAAAGTAACTTCTCAAGCCTACAGACCTTTCCATGGATGTTAGGAATGTTCACCCCAAGTGTTAGATCCAATATATACCGTCTCTTTCAAATTACCATCGAGAGGGCATTTTTGTCAACTGTATGGTGCAAAGTCCCAAAAAAAGTGAACTGTTAAAGAAAGGATAATCTGAATTAAATTCATTTTATCCATAGGAGCAAACTTCTCTTTATAGTCAATGACATAGGTCTAGGTGTATCTTTCGCAACAATTTGAGCTTTATACTTCTCGAAAAAGAATCCATTAGCTCTGTACTTGAGATCAACTAATTTCCATTTTTGGTTTTTGATTAGGGCATCTATTTTCTATGTTATAGTCTCTTTCAATGGGGGTAATTGCATTGCCTCTGTAACATTATGAGGAAAGGATATAGAAGAAGTTGCAAAAACAAAAGGAATTATAGGATGGGGATAATGAATCATAGGAAACATAATTAGAGATAGGAAAATCTCGGAAGAAGACTTAACACATTATCTTTTTCCTTTGCATACAGCAATAAATAAATCAAGGTCAACATGGGAATAATATGGATCAACAATTTATTCAACAAGGGCTTAATTGTCTGAATCTGATTTTTTTTTAAGCCTAAGCTGGAACCAACCCAAATCACTAAAACAAAACTTTTACATAATTTGGCCCCAAAATAAGTTGCCCCTAAATGCCCCCTTTTTTTGCCAAACCATCTGCTAGCCCATTAGCTGATCTTGGTATCCAATTCACTGCAGCTCTCAGTTCAACTATCATCTTCTTGATTTCATGAACAATGAATCTGAGGATTAAATTGTGGTGGTTGTTCAGTCTTTGGATCCACCTTCTTGATCTGGATCATACCTGCAATTCTGGCACATTAACAGGTTAAGAGGTAGTAGGGACAGAGTCTAAAGAAATGACAACATCAATAGAGGGAGTAGGAAGCACAAAAAACTCATAAACTCAACTCTTCTCAATAAACTTATTTTACTGATCTGCATCCAATGGATCCATTCAAATGCCTTCAGGTGTGATCAATCTCCCAAACGACCTACAATAAGGAGAAATACATAGCTATTTGAACACTGAAACTCTCATCGGTTCCCATAATTATTGGCACCAGATTTTGTATTTTGAGGAAACCATCATAAAAAATCAAATAAAACCATCATTAACCAAGGTTTTCTCACAACACCACTGTCTAAATTCCCAGAAAACAATTGTTCAACATTGTAGCCCCTAACCAAGCTTTATGGAGCCAGTAAAAGTAATCTTGCACAGCAGAAGGGAAAAATCAGTGCCAGTGGAAAATATTGAGGATTATAACCATTACTGCCCCTTCAATACTGAATAAAATGAGTGACACTACTGGTATTTTCGAAAAAAAAAACACATTTCCAGAAACAATTCAAAATCATCAATAACACTGCTATACATCAATCAGATCATATAACAGTTCAATATTGAAGAACAAGGCCGTGCATTAATATTAGAAAGAAGAAAATGTTCCAAAAATTCAAATATGATCAGAAAATTATCAAACTACCTTCATTGTCTCCCAAAATATGATATGGATAAAAATCAACTGATCCCATTCAAAAACCCTTAGACATTGAAGCATAAAATCCGATGGATTCAGATCTGAATTTTTTGATTTTCTGACTGTAAAATCTATAAAAAAACAGCTAAAAGCACTAAATGGTTCCAAAAATTGCTTCAAAAAGACCCTAATATTGTCCATACCAGAATATAGGGTTTTCTTTGTTACAAGATACAGGTTATCTGTTCACCTGCTGACATCATCTGTACAGCTGTTGACATCAACAGTGCCTCAAGATGAACTCTGGCACCTACTTGTGACTTATGTTGTCCTGTGTGAGAATCAATCTTGGATTTCACACCAATGTCATTAACTTAAATATTATAAGGGTATAATTAGCCCTTAAAATTACAATAAAGTTTCTTAAGAGGCACCACTTGGCAATTTTTTGAACACTTCTTCAATATAAATGATTCTAAACTTCCTTTGAAGAGGTTTGCTGAGTATGACTTTGCAACAAAACAAAAGGATGTTGTAGTGAGAAGCTTCTTGAAGGATTCACATGAGTTTTCCAAGAAATCATGCCTTTGGTAAAACAAGTTGAATAGATTTACAGAACACGGGCTGAGTGGTTCAGAACCTAAATGAAAATTGGAAATTTATTCGTGAATGGTTTCTCATTACTGAACTGATTTGGCTGTAACTGTTAAGCATTTGATGGAAGTGATAACATGATTGAATGGTAAATGTTTCAATATATGGATTTTTCTTTAGTTATCTAATCACATATGGAGGGTTACCATCAAATTTCAAGGATGAATTCATTTCCAACAGTATTTTTGTAACATTAAAAACTTCCACAGTTATTTACTGTCCTCTTTATTTATTACTCCTGCAGGATGAAGAGAAACAGAGAAATTTATCTCTTTTCAATGAGGAGTTGGAAATTTTGAAGAAGAAGTCAAGTCAGGATGCTGAATTAGAAAAGAAGATTGAAGAGGAGAGAAATTTAGCTATTGTCAATGCTGAATTGGATGATTTGAAGAAGAAACATAGTCAGACTGCTGAGCTAGAAAAGAAGATTGAGGAACTTGAGAACAAGTTGAAGTTGGGAAATAACTCCAGTGTTCAGGCAAGTATAACCAGTATCATGTTTCTACCCACTTTAGGTGATCTTTGGTACTTAGGGTGGTAAGAACATACTAAAAATAACTGTTTTTAAAATCCTAAATTCAGGATTGAATGATTTCAAGTTAAAGCCATGAGGGTTATAATGGATTTGGTAATGAAATTGCTGTTGGTACTCGTACAATCACATGCATCTTTCCCTTGTGTTTTCTTGATTGAATCCTTTTCTACCTTTGATGGTTTAGGGATGCAAATGGTATACATTTGTCCAATTCAAAATCAATTCAATCAGATTAAGGCAATCCAAATTTGATTAATTCATAATTGGATCAAATGTGGATCCACGCCAGCCTGTTTTGTTATGTCCAATCCAACGATGTTTAAGCAAATATGCTTACATTTACATAAACTTAATATGTATGTTGTATACTGATGTGTCATCATAGGTTACCGTATGATAGAAGTTATTTTCAAGTCATTTTGTTCATGATATACAATATCAAACTCATTTTAGTTTATTTTTTAATAATATTCATGATCATCTTTAACTTAATTTATCAATGGTATTCAATATCATCTTTCTTCCAAATTTGATCTAATTCTAATAGACCAGATTTTGTTCAAATCTGAAAAATAACAGATCAAATTTGGATCTAGGCACATCTGTTTCAGTCAGATCTGGTTGCAGCCCTGTGATGGTTCTTGATTGCTAAACTTGTATGTTGAAATTCATAAAAAAAAATGCCAATAAATATGAAAGCATGTATCCATGCATTTGTGGCATATATTCTCAGTTTCAGATATGGGGATGTTTAGATTTTAAAGTTAGAGAAGTGCTCAAAGAAGACATTATCTATGATCAAGATCCTAAGATAACATACCTTGAAGCCTCCTATTGCAGTTATAGGTTTGATGCAACCTTATCTTCAAGTTCATAACTAAACATCAATAGCTGCATGATAAACTTGATCCGAGTTTATAATTTAATGTTGGTGGCTGCCTGATTACCCTACAAAGTATGTTTGTATGTATGTAGGATGTGAAGTTTATGGTTTGGCTTTTCTTTTTTTTTTTTTTTTGTCTATTCTTTATTTCGAGTGTAAAGAGGGGCTAAAAAGCTTTGCATATTTAGGATGTGAGGAAATTCTCTGTTCTTTTCTAAAATAAGAAATAGCAAGTTTTTTCTTTACAAGAGTATTTCAAGAGTACTATTAAGTTATTATTTATTTTTCAGTTCGAATATAAATGTTGATGTTTGTCTTATGTTGCAGGGTGACTTGAGAAGTCCTGCTGAATTTAAGGATGGACTAGAGGTGAAATCCAGAGACCTTGGTTCAACTATCTCAACTCCATCAAAAAGGAAGAGTAAGAAAAAATCCGATGCTGCATCTCCTCAAGCATCACCATCTTCAGGAGGAATTCATCCCGCAGCCCCTCAGATTTCATCTGCCATGTCCTTTAAGTTCATCTTGGGAGTAGCATTGGTGTCTGTGATCATTGGCGTTATTCTGGGGAAGCGCTATTAACTTTGGCCATGTTTTCTTTTATTCTCTATAGTTAGTGTTTATTATTTATTTTTTTTCAAAAAAAAAAACTCAAAAAAAGAAGTATGGTAGTGTGTAATTAGTTAAGGTCTTGAAGTTGGTCAAGGGATTTGTTTTTATTCTATCCCTACCAGTTTGCGGCACTATACAATCTGGTTGTTGTATTCAAGTTTGTGTATTATTTTTGTGAGTTTATACTGCAAATGCTTCTGAGTTCTCATCTTTGAGAGACTGAGCTGTTGCTGTTGGTTGAGCATTGTACAAGGTTCTGGGACTGGGAGGACACTTAAAGCCCACCTGACTTGTTGTATAGGAGCCATTGCTTGCTTGGTACAATGGTAAAATCTTGGGCTTGACAAGTGTGAGGAGAGGTTGGAGTCCGACTGTCTGAGCCACTCCCATGACCCCATATTTGATCTGAAGTTTTGGTAAATAATTCAGCTGTACTACCAATCCAAACTGGAAACAATTGTTGTTAGAAAAAGGTATCACCAGTTGCTAAAAATCCAACATCAAGTAAACAAATCCATCGCGTTTCTATTTGATGTATATACAGACTACAGTATATTGCTTTGCCAGTTTAGTTACAGGGAATGGTCTTATATAAGATGTCTATTGTACTGATTTATTTTGGACGGAACTGAAAATTTTCCTATGAAGAAATGGAAAGTAGTTGCTCTCATTCATACCGAAATTTGTTGTGGAGATGTCCAGGCTTTGGTGTCAATTAAGTAGTAGATCCGAATGCTTGCGTGATAGAACATTTATTTTCTACTATTCATGTCATACAAGGCCAAATGCAGTTGCACGCCTTGTTTTGCACTGAAAAACTGATAGCAGAATTTGCACCGCCTTCCTCCTACCTTAAAGACGCCTCCCAACTCCCAAGCACTCATCCCTCTCTTCTCTTACATAAAAGAAGTGGGGACTACACCATTTTACTTCCTATTTGGAGTTCACATCCTCTGTACCCAACCAATAGCAATCTCTTAAACTAGTCTGTCCTTTCCTTATCTGTATACAGAAAATTCTGTACCAAATCAATAGCAATCTGGTACACTAGTCTATCCTTTTCATATCAAAATTAAAGTGATTTTTTTTAAATGATGTAGCAGATTGCTATTGGTCTGGTACAGAGTATTTTCTGTACCAAGGGTACAGAGGATGAATTCCTTATTTCACTCTTAAGATCGGTTTTGAGTGAGTACAAATATAACTAAATATAATTATGTACAGTGCAAGTATATACAAAATAATACAAAATATAAGGTTTTGCACTCTACATATTTGTATTTATACTCATTCCAAACTGAGCCCTCACAAACAAACAAACTAAAGTTAAGACTTGAAAAACTAATTTAAACCAAAATTTACGCCCAACTCATTTGCACTGCCGTGCGTTTACATTACTGCAAATGTTATTATTAAAGGCCTTTTCTACCACAGTGAGAGTGAGAGGATGATTTGGAAAAAATAATTGAAATTCTTGCATCCTTTTTTTATGGATTTTTGGCTTAAATAACCTTGAATTTTGCAAAAAAGCCACTTTAGATCCTAAGGCTGCATTTGTTTGCAGTGTAAAATTTCATTGATGCAAAAGCCCATTGATGGAATTTCACGCCAAGCCAAACCGTTGAAATCTCTGAACCGTTGACATTGAAAAACGTGATTATCAATGTAATATTACATATATTTTATCAATGTAGTTTTTACATCGATAATTGATGTGAGTGATGTTTTACATCAATAATCAATGTAAAACTCCACTCCATTCAAACATTGACAAAACCGAACTGGCAATGATGTTTTACCCTAAAGAATTAAATTGGCTATTTTCATCCCTGAACCATGATGGAAAGGCCACTTTAAGGTAAAAATAAACAATGTTAGAGACTCTAATGTCATCAACAAATATTTTAGACAATAAATAAAATAATAAAAGCATGCTTATGTTGGAAGGCTCAAGTTTGAAAAGACCACTTTAGATGTTAAAAAATCTATTATTAGTTAATAAATAAATTTTATCAAATAAATTACTTCAAGGATTTGCTCAAATTAGAATTATCAATTAATAATAATTAATTAATAACAATTAAGAGTAAATTATTACTTATACATTACCTTAATTAGCTTAACTAATAGTAAATTAATAATCACTTAGAGCTATAGTATAGGCCGCTACCAAAAAAGCTATTTTTAAGAACAAAGGACACAGAAGAGAAAGAGTTCAAGAGGCTCCAAATATCATCTAGCACCCTTTGGCAACACGAAAAAGCAACATCCAACTTTCTCAAGGATCCATCTATAGCCAACTTTGAGTCTGAAATAAAAACGAAATCCCTCCATCCTCCCTTCGCTACAAACGGCAAAGCTTTGAGTATAGCACCTATATTTATTTTATGGGAAAATTCTCAATTATTTAATATAGTGTTATTTTGGTTTCCCAATTTTAAAATGCAACAATTTAGTATCCAAATTTTTAAAACATGTCAATCCAGTATCTATCTTTAATTAGCTGTTAATCAGCCGATAAGTAGCATTTGAAAAAGACACAAATGCCTTTCAAGTTTCATCTAATTTTCTTTATAAGCCATCCAAACATTGACAAAAAATTAACAGCTCCAAATCTTTGTCTCTTCTATTCAAGGAAGTTAGGGTCATCAGAATGTCCACCAAGACATGACCCCAACTTTCTTGAATAGAAGAAGGATTTGGTACCGTTATTTTTTTGTCAATGTTTAGATGGTTTATAAAGAAAGTCAAATAACACTCAAAGGACATTCCGTCTTTTTCAAATGTCACTTATTTGAAAGTACAAGTACTAATTGGGAATTTTCCTTATTTTATTTATTGTCTAATCAATGGATATATTGACAGCATCTCTAGAGTTCACATCAAGGGGCACTCCTTTGTCGGGATGCCCCATAGCACATCCTGACAACGTTTTATTGGGAACACCTCTTGATGATGTTTCATTGTCTCCCATACTTATTATCGGGAGATATTCCGAATACAAGGTTGGGATGTACTGTGGGCATTGATGTGAACTCGCATCTCTAACATGGTTTGTTATTGCCTTAAATGACCTTTCCAAAAATCTTTTTTTATAAGAGTAAAATATAAAAACTTTCCCTAAAAAAATGAGACAAAAATTAGCTAAATATATTGTACATGTTGAACCATTTTTATTAGTTGAAAACCCTGGGCTAGAAATATTTTTTCAATAATCAGTAAATCCCTAGTGAAAAAGGTTTCTAGAAATACAATTAGAGTAGATGCTTTAAAATTTTTTTATTCATATAAACAAAATTTAATCTCTACTTTGTTAACTCTCAATTCTAAAATTGCACATACATAAGATATTTGGACTCCGAATGTAATATATGTAAAGTATTTTTATTAGTTTTGCTAATGCCATTAATAATGATTCAACAATAGATATTTTAAAATCTTAATTAAAATCATATTTAAATGGTAAATTGTTTTATATTAGATGTTCATGTCACATCTTAAATTTATGTGTTCAATATGCTTTAAATATTATTTTTCCTTATATTTCTAAAATTAGAAATTGTATTATGCATATTAGAAGTTCTGATACAAGAAAACAAGAATTAAAATATTTATTTCAGAAATATGGTTTAAAATGTAAAAAATTTGTATTAGATGTTCAATATAGGTGAAATTCCATCTAAAGTTGTATTTCATACAAAGAGATTCTTATTAATTTTTATAATGAGAAAATGCCCATGATTTTATAACCAATGATGATTGGAAAATTGCAGTTTGTATAATTTTGTTTTACAATTTTTTATGATACAACTAATGCATTTTTTGGTTTTTATTACCCAACTTTTTGTATTTTAGTTATTCAATTATTTATAATTAGTGAATATTTTTTAAAATATAAAAATAATTTAAAATTTTAAAATATTATTAATGTGATAGAGTTTGGTCCTTAATAAATAAAAGGCATAAATCAAATGCCACTTCATCATCAAGTTCATTTACTGAACTTAACTTTTATTTACAAGATAATTATACAAAGTTAATAGATTCTCTTAACTTAGAGGAAATAAATAATTTTGATATTTTAGCCTGATTGAACGAGCATAAAAAATTATCCAATTCTTACCATCATGACACATGATCTTCTAAACCCTTTGATGTTCACAGTTCCATTGGAGTCTTATTTTAGTGCAATAGGGCTTTTGATGATAAAAAAAAGCAGCATAAACGATAAAAGCTTGGAGAAGAGTATATATTTGAAGGATTGATTGGATGATAAAGACAAGCTACAAGATCAGGGAGGGCATAACACTTCACTTGATATTTCACCAAAAGCAAATAATCTAAATCGAGATCAAGGAGATAGAACTTGAAGAAAATATCAAAATAATGAAGTCAACATTTTTTGTATACTTAGTAATTGTACAACATTTTTAAATTATTATAAGTTTTGTTTTTTTTTTAATTTTATTACATTATTTTTATATTTTATTCCAATTCCATTATAATTTTTTTCAAGTTATTTTTTTTTATTTTTTTGATTTGTATTCATTAAATATTTAAATTCAAATGAAATAAAATTTCTGAAAATTTCTTTCCAATTGTCTATTTTGTATTTTGTTAAGTTTTTTGTTAAATTTTTATTTTTTTCCAAAATTTTTATCATTTTTTTACTTTGCAAAAAATGGAAAAATGACAAAATAAACAAAAAAAAGGACCTGTCCCAGGCCTGTGCACAAGGCACAGCCCAACTCGGACTCACTTGGGCTTACTGTAGGCTGTGCCAAACCTGACCTTTGAAGGGTTATGGGCCAGGCAGGCACAGCCAGACCAAGCCCACATGCCACCACAGCACGGCCCACTAAAGCACAGGCAGCCAACAAAATCATATGATACAACAAATTCGGCTTCAGTCAGTGCAAATCCATGCTCACACCGTTCAAACAGCCTCAAGGCTGTTGGGTTGGAACGGACGTCACACTGACTGAAACCAATCTCTGACACAAGTACCCAGCCCACTTTACATTTCTGAGGTTGGTGTGAGGCGCGCTCGGTGAGGAGCAAATCCGAACTCCAAGATGGGTATTTAATTCTAATTTCTTACTGTGACCTGTATTCAAGTACAAATCTACCATCCCAATATAGCACAGTAGCAGGCATCGTCATGGTATCTTCAAACTGATCTTCTATCTTCCATCACTCACATGCAAGTATTAAGGAATTCTACAGAAAATTGAACTCTCAGCAACTGAAAATACACTCATTGCACAGAGAAACCATGTAATTTGCATCCAACTACACCACAAAGTTAAAAGCAAAATCTCGTCAGTCCTCAGTGGCTAGCTAAACTCAGTTGTAACTTGGCAACTTCACTTCTTATCAACTAACTTCCAATTGTGGGCAGTCCGTGGACCACTAGAGATGCCTTCATAGTATCGAGAATCAAGCTTTTGGTTGTTCCAGTCCTTGATGAATTGTGTAAACAGTTCGCGTGCAGATTCAGATGAAAGATCGGAGAAAAACAATCCTCTCTCTTCTTTCAACCAGGTTGCAAACTCGTTATTCTTTGAGAAGTAGTCATCACTAGAAAGCTCTTGGATCTCATATTATGCAGACAAGAACCAAGAGCATCAGAAAATAAGTCATTAACCAAAAAATTACTTGCCAAACTAGGAAACATCTTGTGATGAAAAATGAAAACTGCTAGTTAGTTTAGTAGTTGGCATTTAGTGGGTTGGTGGCGTTCTTGCATGTAAGGGTTGTGGGAGTTTGTTATATTAGAAGTCTGTATATATCCAACTCAACTAGTATTTGAATATGGAAAGAACTCTCTCTAGGAGTCCAACCCCCTCAAAGTGGCCATATCCCTTCTCTGTTTTGCCTATTTTTCTATTTTATTTAAAAATATGTTAAAATTGTATTAGAGTAGATGATCCTTCAGCAATGGAAGAAGATATAAAAAAAAAAAAAAAAAACTTCAAGCTTTTAGAAAAATGCCACAAGGAATGAAAGAAAAGCTTTAAGCAATGTCTTCAAATTCTGATAGATGTTCTTGGAGAGCTTTCAGAGTTGGATGCTAGATCTGATCAATCACATGAAAACAATAGAAATGAAACCAAAGAATTGTGCTAGCCAGATGAGAAGGGCTGTTAAGATTCTATCATCATCTCAGGCCAAAACTTAGCCTTGCTCCATGGTTCGTGTGAATGCTGATACTTATTATGTGAAACAAGGTCCAACCAGTGTTGCATGAACAGACATGGAAATCAGAATTTGATGCATGTCTAGGAGTTTGACTCAGCAAGAAGAAAAAACAAGGACTCATGGACATGTCTGTAAAAAAGTATAAATTGCTAAAATAATCATAAAACCATTTCAGTTCCAATGAACAATAACCAATTTGTCTTCCTCCTAGCCTATCACTTCCACAGGCTGCTTTGGCACTTTTATTACAATTTACAAGTTACCAGATGTAAGATAACATTCTGGTTGTCCAGGAAATTCCATAGTGTTTACATAAAATAACTAGGATTCAAGGCATAATAGCTCTGAGTCCAAAGCTAAACATCGCAAAAGTATGTGCTAAGATGCAATTGTCTTTTTCCATTTCCAGTATGAATTCTTGTTTTCAGAACAATAATCTCTTCTTATTTAATAACCCTGACATTTTAAGTTAGAATGATCCCCATTTTGCAAATTTCAAGCTATCATGGGCTCAGGAGAACTGATTCAATATGACTTTTTTTTGGTAGAAATCTTTCCATATGAATTTTGAATTTAGAAGGATTACCTATCCTTGTACATGAAAAGGGACTCACCAACCATCTGTTCAAACACTCAAGTCATCTATCTCTGTATTTCACCTTCTTTTAAGATGACTTTAATTTCTTCCAAGCTGTGATAGGAGGAATTTAAAACATTGAGATCTTAATGTTCTTCTTTAGCATCCTATCCTGATCAATAAATGTATTCACAGAAATCTAGTATTATGATAGGAAAAACATTTAACCATGGTATTATTTATTCTCTGATGGACTCATCAAATCTGGAAACTTATCTCTTCTGAAAAATACACCCAAAATCCCCTTATTCTAGGAAAATCAAAACCAATTCCCTATTCACCAAAAATAGACAAGAGTCCGAACAAATTTTTTGAAGAGTATATGATGTACAAATATAGGTAGTTATGTCATTATCCTTAACGCTCTTCTCTTATCGAAAGAATACTTTCATTGGTTCTTCATGGGCAAATTGCTTATCTGTTTTGTTTCCCAAGTCACCATTGTTTCATCTTCCTCCTTGTATTAAGGGCCAACCCAAGATAAACCCTAAACATAACTGATATCAAAACCCAAATTTGTCAATCCAAACCTATCCGAATTTCTAGTCAACCCCATGCATTGCATGGGTTTACTTGCTAGTTATATACGTTGAGAAAGTTGGGTTGATGATATCACTTGATTCCAGCAATCTCCTCTTCTGTTCTTTCCATTCCTCTTCACTATTTTCTGTGTTCTTCCCTGTTCCTGTCACAGGTTAATTACAAAACTAGACAAACTAATTTCCTCCCAAAAGATGGCTATAGAATTCTTTCCCAATCTCTCAAACAAATATCCCTATTTATGCTATGTGAGCCATATCATATTACATATACATACAATTCATTGTAGAACAATTACTGGTGGTTCCAAAATACCAAGAAAAAAATCTTAGAACTGCATAAATAGTTTCCATTTCTGTCACCTAAAAGGAAGGAAAATTGGTCTCTTGATTCTTTCCAATTTTTGAATGAATTCCCTTTCTCAAAAATCAATTGTAGGGTACTCTCTAACATACAGGCCTTTTTTGTCCATGTGCTGAATCCAAATACTTCCAGGATTTCCACTACCCATTAGCTAAAACAACTCAAGGAGCCTCTTGGACAAGGAAAACTGTCCTAGAATTGGTGGACATCTTTTTTGACAATTCCTTTTGCATACAGACTTGTTTATATTCAAAGTGTTAAGTGGCACCAATTTGAGGGTAGTTAGTCATTTGTCTTTCTTTTGTTATGTTTTAAATCCATCCCAGCATATAAAGGCAGATTAGACATTATACACACGTTTAACCACTCCTATAAAGATCAGCCAAATGGGAAGGAGAGAGAGGAGAATATACTCATTTTCACTCATCAGTTTCTCTTTTCTTGGTCTCTTCCTCTCTTCTCTACGCATAGCCTGTCTACTAAAGTCTAAAGCATTCATTACATCAAAACAAGGTATCATAGCCAATTTTGAAACATATGATTATACCAAGACTCACCTGATCTGATTGATTTCTCTCTAGAGATCAGATCTATTAGTGATCCTTTCTTCTTAATTTCTGGTTGAGCCACCATTGGTCACAGTGGGGTGTGTGTGTGTCTGTCTGTCAGTATGTGGTTGTTTAAGCCTTCTACTTGAATGTTGTTTTCTTTCTTGTTACCGATAAGAAATACATGCTGTGTGGAAATGTGTTGATGATGTTTCATGCAAGCTATGGTGACCGCTTCTCAGTGAAGTGATGAATTCAAACCAAATTTGGTTGTGTTACAGACTATTTTACAGTGCAAATGACATCTATCAAGCTGAGTGGTGAGAACTATATCCCTTAGGCAAATTCTGTAGAGATTTTTTGACAGCTAAGAGGAGCTTAAAGCTCTTGAAAGATGATAAGCTCATGGTTGGTTTGAGTGGCTACAGTGATTGGATGTACGAAAATGCTCAAATCATGATGTGGTTATGGAATATGGAGCCAAAAAATAAGTGTCAATTTCACATTCCTTGATACAGCCAAAGAGATATAGAATATTCAAAGGCTGTATTCTGGTCAGGATAACATCACAGTGGAAATATCAACTCTTCTAGGAGTATCTTACTTTACAGCAGGGTGATCGGAGCATCGAGGAGTACTACACTATTTTGACAAACCTTCATAGTGAGCTTAATGTTTTACTGTTGAGACACAATGGCTCCCATAGTTTGGACTTTGGAGTTCCCTGCTTAAACTCACATCTCTTCTCTTCTCTTCTCCCATCATTCTCTCTAATTCTACCAATTTTCTTTTATTTTCCTTGCCTTACAACTCAACTTCATATTAGATCAGGTTTCTCTTTCTCTTCTTTGCATGTAAGAACCACACACTACTAGGATCAGAAATGTATATGGAAATTTGAAGGGCTTATCATTTATAGGTCAAATAGCCTTGCTTTTTTAATGATTTCAGAAAGTTTCTTGCTGGAGATTTGAAGGCTAGAGATGACTTATAGACAACTGCACCCAAAATCAAGAAAACAAGAGAATTGGAATGTCAATGAATTGGAGGATTAGGAACCCTATTGGAGTTGGCGCTTAGGGTTTCTTTGACATAAATTGATCCCTTGTAGTCATAAACAACAGCTGTGGAAGCCTGTAGGGCTGTAGGAGTGACTCATATTTCTCCACTTCTACCCATACAATTAAGGTTGCTGGAACCCTGCAGGATTGAATGAATATGATCTTGATTTTTGAGACTTCTATATCAGTGTAAGGGCATAGTTGGAATTGATTACATCAATGGGTGCTGTGCTTTTGGTAATAAAATAAAATTTGTTAAAAGGAAAAAAGAAAATACAAGGTGACTAGAAGTCGCCTGAAAGAAGAAAAAGCAACTGCAAACACAGGGACCAACTCAACAGCAAACCTCAACAACCAAAACCCAACAAAACCAATCAAAATAACCAACAAACTATAAAACAAAATACAAAAAATCATAAGACTCCAAGCAACCACCACCAATGATGACCCTCAATTACAATACACCGCCACCAGATTAAAGATAACCTCCTTTGCTCCTCATGTTAACTTTTTTCACCTTCTTGACAGTTTCAATCCCAACTAAGCACCCTTTCAATCTAGCAAAAACTTTCAAGACCTGAACAAAAGGATGATATTTCCAATTTCTACATTGTCTTACTGCACTAGTAGTCTTCTCAAAATCTTTTTGATCCATACGTTGGTCCTGTCTAATTCTAGCACCACAATCTTCTTGAAAGTCAGATCTGCAGCTTCTACCCCACCCTTTGAATCAACTTTCCCTGCTAAGACAAATGGACTCAGTCTATCTCAAACACCACCCTTTTTTAAATTAGAATCAGCTGAATCCTCATACAAATCAACTTTCCCACTTAAAATTGGAGGTTTGCCATATTTTTCTTCCAAATCCTTAAAAGTTTTCCTCATAAATTCCTCCCCCTCTGAGAAAAAACAAGCCCAGAGAGTTGCTCACCTCCAATTCAGTATTTACCACTGTCTCCACATCAATTGACCTCCTAGTTTCATGAATCTCATCAATTGCAACCTCTTCCTCATCTGAATCGTCACGCTCGTCTTAAAGGGGAAGCCCTGTGCATGACGCCCCCGCCAACATGGGGTCTAGGGAGGGACAGATGTACACAGCCTTACCCCTGCAGATAACATAGAGAGGCTGTTCCAAACTTGAACACAAATGTCTGAAGATGACGCTTGAGAAAATTCTCCAGTCTGGTATGGCAAAGTCCACCCACCATGCCCGAGTGCTCATCAGGCAGAGGCATATCAGGGTTGGGAGACAGGTTGTCAACATTCCATCTTTCGTGGTTAGGGTAGACTCACAGAAGTATATTGATTTTTCACTAACCAGTCCCCTTGGAGGTGGCCATCCTGGAAAAATGAAGCGGAAAAACCAGAAGGCTGCAGGTGGTAATGGAGATGAAGAGAACGAGGATTGAGCAATTGGTTTTGATGGTTAGTGGTGGTGATATAGGGATTATGATTTATGAGTAATTCTTGTTTGCTTTTTCCTCTCTATGGTAGCAGTTGAAAATTTTTTGTTTCAAGATTTTGTTATTAGAAGATTCTGTTGTCAAGAACAAGAGTACATGCCAGTACTAAGTAGTATTATAGATGATTGAGCTAGGGTTTCGATCTAAAATATAAAATAAAATAAAATAAAAAATAAAGAGGCTCTTCCAAGATTTGAACCCTGGTCACCCACATCACAATGGAGCAACCCAACCGTCACCCTCATCTTTTTTGCCCTCAATAATTTCTTCATCTTTTAATGGATCCGTTTTTTTTTTTTATCAGTGAATTGTAAGATTTATTAATTTATAGCCAAAGTACAATTTAGGGAGAGGCACGAGATGCTACCTCCCCTCTAAGGAGGGGAGATGGAGGAAACCATCAACCCTTTAGTTAATAAACATAACAAAGGACAAAGAAAATTACAGAGAAGACCAATACAAGGAGACCCGAGTAGCCCCTTGTTTAGCAAGATAATCAGCCAAGGCATTAGCCGATCTACCCATCCACTGAAATCTAACTGTCATGTCCCTCAATAGCCATTTGACCTTTTTTAAAATATCCTTAAAGTCCCAAGTGACAGTAGCCGGGTCAGCCAACCATCCGTTCTAAATTTTCTTTTCCTACTATAGATTTTTACCCCTTCCTTTGTCAAGGCATCGGCTAGGCGACTAGGCACCCTTGGCTGGGTGCCTTGCCCAAAGAGGTTCTTTTTTTCTATTCTCTCTCTCTAATTAAATAAAGCAGAAATTCCATCCTTGTTTTTTCTATTTTACTTTCCATCTTGAATATTTATCATACAAAGTTAATAATCTTCTTTAGTTGCTAATTGATATGAAATTGCTCTATTAAATACTTGTTATAGTAATATTATTTTTGAAAACAATGAAATTAGTATATGTAAAAAGATTTTTATCTTTTAGATGTGATGATTTACCACATTTTTAGACGAAATTTAATGTTCTTAATAAAGAGAATTGCTATTTTTTCAATTAATATACATGCTGAATGGTACACAAAACTAGGGAGCTGGCCAAAAGTTGTTCTTTATATTATAAAATTCCTATCGCATAGGCAACTGGTAGTGGTGGCAATTGGGCGGGTTGGGTTGGGTTTGGTTTGAGTTGAGCTTCAACCCAACCCATCTAACCCGCCAACCCATTAATGACCCAATTATATAAAATTAAATGGGTTAGGTTCAACCCAAACCCACTTTAACCCAATCCAACCCGCCCAAACCCATTGATCTTATATTTATGTACTTAAAACAAAAAAACTAACTTTCTTGACAAATAAGTTGGTCATAATTTGGAGGTAATAATAGTTGCTAATACACAAGTGAAGAAGGTTCAAATCACATTACATGCATGTTATTTTGACACAAGCGGAAAAGCCATTTGACTATGTTCAGGTTTTGGGTTTGACCAAACCACTTAGGTTCAAATCGGTCAAACCAACTTGAACTACCTAATTGGATTGTCTTCGAGCTAATCGCATCAAGGGTGGTTGAACCGTTTAGATCTGGATCGATCCAATCGGACCAGACCGGACCGGTTCAGTCAATGGCAGATTGACTTGGACCAGCCCATATCAGGTTTGTGCATAGGTTTGGGACCGAACCGACTGGCCCGAAGCGAGTCAAGAGAAGTAAATCGGGCCGGTCTGGATTCGAGTTGGGATGTGCGGATACAGGCTGGATCGGACGATCCAAACCGGGAGCAAGCCCCGTTCCAGATTTGGGTCGACTAGATCGGCTTGTCCTAGGTCGGGTTAAGACTAGGCTGTCCGACCCAAACGAACCGAACCGAGGTGGTTCGGGTCTGCTCATATTTAGACCAAGTTGAGCTGATCCGGACTCGGGTCAAGTTGATTTGGATTTATGTCGATTTGGGTGAAGTGTGTTGATTCGAGACAAAACTAATTTTAGTCAATAATTAATAGAAAATTAATGCATTTATTATAAATTATTTCATTCAAATGAAGAAAATTAAAAAAATGGCTAAGGAATTAATAATTATATCTATAGTGGTTATCACAATGGCTATCCACAACCCAACCCAACCCAACCCATTTAAAGGGGCGGGTTGGGTGATGGGTTGATCACACAACCCGCCAAGTTAATGGGCATGTTGGGTGGGTTAGATACTGGGTGGTTTCAGCGGTTGGGTGAAAAATTGCCACCCCTAGCGATTGGGCAACTAGGCACCGTCACCCAGAATCGCCTACACGCCTTGAAAACTATGCTCCCTTTTCCCTCATTCCTATCTTCATCCTCCCTAACCACCTCATTAATTCTCAGTGTTCTCCCAAACCAATTTCTCCTCAATCCATAAGGCATTATTGAGTAACTTTCCTTTTTATATAATTGAGGACAATCCAGAGCCCTCTATTTAAATTAATTGAATCTTTTTTCTCTCCTTAATTTTGCAAATACTGCAAATCACACGTAAAATGGACACCTTGGCATGATCAAGGACAAAATCAAGCTACCAATTCCCCCTTTTTTGTCTTTTTCTTTTTTTCACCAATGTTTAAAGCATTCAGAAAAGTTTTTGGTCTTTTATTTGGGATTTGAGATGCAAGCATTTGACAGAAAATAATTGTTTTTATATGCATCCATGAAAATTTTGAAGCTTCTTCTATTGTGCAATTTCCCTCTCTTTATCTTTTTTTAAAGGGCAGTAGAGGTGAAATGGTCAAATCCCTTAATTTTCAAAAAAGAAGTTCCTATTTGAATTTTAATGCATGGAGAACATTAATGTTCTAAATCTTGTCCATATTTATATAGCATAGATAAGAGAACTCACTGAGTGATGGTCATGTTTATGATGTTTGTGGTCACGTTTCTCCTCCAACTTCTTGCCTGAATGAATTATTGTTTAAGTCAATAGATCCAATCATTAACAAAAAAGATTATTTATTTACATATGTTCCAGTAAAGAGGCACATATGCATTGCATGTGTATCAAAAAACAAAAAACAAAAAACAAAAAACAAAAAACAATGATTAGGTTTTATTCATCTTGCAAAGATGGCAGTCACATTGCTATGAGGCTGCTTGTAAGCTTCACCGTAATCCAAGACTTATCCCAACAATTGAACAAATGAAATATGGATCTTTAATCCATCAACAAGATAACCAAGGAAGATAAACAAAAGCCATCCTTACACAATTTACCACAAAGTGACCATACAATTGTGGTACACTAAAGCATAACAAAGAAACTGGATAACATAAAGTTGTTTTAAGGAAGATAGAATAATGCCTTAAAGTCAACCCATCCAACCTACATCTCTCTCCTTTGTCCCCTTTTGTTCAACATCCTCTACCATCCTTCTTCCTCACCCCCCTCCTTCTCTCTTTTCCTTTTCTGTTCTTGATCTGAAACCCTATCTAGTTACAGGAATCCAAATTCCACCATATTATGCATGCAAATTTATCAAAATTGTTGATGAAAAAAAGGAACAGGCAAACCAGAAAAAAAAACGTATTATTCACCTTAACCCTAAACACAATTATAAAATAAATTTAACTCTTTTCATGGAAAAAAATAAATTTGAAACTGCCTCAAACCCTGGTTGTGAATCTGACATTTTTTTATCAATGTGAATTTGACATAATATCAGAAAGGTTTCTCAGCTAGTTATACAATGAGACCAATCTTGTGAATCTGACATAATTTGAGCAAATTACAGCATTTTTACTAGCAAGGTATCAGTTTATGATAGGATTTGGGTTTTGGGAACTTTTATTTTAAGGAGTTCTCTTGGATCCAAAGTTAGGGGTTTGTTTCTTATAAATACTTGTTATGAAAGCATTGCAAGGGGTTTTAAAACAGTGAATGAAGTTTTGGATTTATTCTATTTGAGATCTTCTCAATTTCTCTTGTGGACTCAAGAGTTCTATTAGCCATAACAAGATGGTGATTTTGTTCTTTTCATGCTTACTGCTACATTAGTTGGTATCAAAGAGAGTTATTCCTAGTTCAATGTCTAAAAACAATACAACATATTGGAAGACTACAACTCCAATAGTGGTGGTGCTCATGGAAATCAAATTCATGTCCCTAACAGGTCTCACATTGATTAAGGTACATGTGATTCACCCAGAGCAGAGATCGTGACTGTCTTGGAAGGAGCACAAAGGGCAAAGGAGCTAAATATTAGAAAGATAGTTGTTAAGGGTGACTCCAAGCTAGTAATTAATTGGCTGCAACAAGAGGAACTGGAGTTATATTAATGAAAAAAGAAAATTTAGATGGCTGGCACAAAGTATGGAAGTGAGACTTCAATGGGTAAAGCGAAGTGGGGAGGACCAAGAGCAGTGATTTAAAAGGCACGCCTAGGCGCACAGGCGAGGCACATTTTAGGGTATGTGCCTCGCTCAGGTCCTAGGTGCACCCCTTTCAAAAGGCGCATGCCTAGTGCGCCTGATGCGCCTTGCACCTCAGCCCAGGCATGCATGCGCCTTAGCCCAGGCATGCATGGGCCTAACATAGACTTGTTCGGGCATGCCTCAAGGGCGTAGTACAAAGGTGACTCATAGAATCAAGAATGCAATATGTTTTACATCACATTAGCTACTTGAAGCAATGCAATTAAGGGAAAAAAAAAAGAGATCGTGGGTTTTACATGCTTGAAAATGCTTTATATGTTTGCTTTTATTTTTGAAGTTTCATTTGAATACACTTTACATGTTATGTTTATGTATTTTAGTTTTAGATAATAGGTTTCTTAAAAAAATTATTTTAAAATTTAAGTTTATATTTTTATTAACATTATATTTAATATTTTTGATTTTTTTTTAATTTTTGGCATTTTTTTTTAATTTTCTGACTTTTTTTTATTTTTTCTTTCTTTTTTGTAATTTTGCGCCTTGCTTAAAAAGGCGCATGCCTCGCCTTGCGCCTCAGGCGCAAATTGGCCCCTGCGCTTTTAAAACACTGACTAAGAGAGCTTATCCCTCCTCTTTTTCTTTGTTTCTTGTTGTACCTTTTTTCTTCTTAATCATCTAATGAATTGGTTCAGTTATTGATAAAAAAAATACAGTACTTTAAGCAACAATCAAAAAATGTCCAACAGAACCAATCAATGAATTTGACACTTCAGTTACATTGCATCATAAGCTCCACGATTTTATCAGCTTTCAAACTTGAATGTATATCTACATTCCAAGTAAATTGCCACTTCTCATAATTCTTCTGCCACATTTTACATTGGAGATTATACAATCATTGGCAACATAAATTGCAATCTCTCTCTCTTCTTCTTAATTCAAGTAAGGGTCATCTCTTGGCATAGGGATTGAGTGCAATCTTTAGTGGGTCATAAGGGTGAGATTTTCTTTTTTTCCTCTTTTTGGGTCAGTTTCAGCGGAAGTGCTGGTACTTGTCTCAAGGGGTATTTTTATTGTTTTGATTTTGGTGCTCTTTTGGGGGCGTTTGCTGGGTTTTCTGTTCCTCTGAGGTATTTTAGATAACCATATTCGTAGTGGATTATCAAAAGCATTACTAGTGTTTAATGTGCAAGCATTAAATCACTAAAACCCACGAACACATATTAAATCACAAACACAAACGGAAGTTTTCTAGAATTATGTACGAAAAGTTCCTAACTTATCTAGAATTTCATCACAAACACAAATAATCTATATCAAAATGGAACTTCGTAGTCTCTGAAGTTAAATCAAGAAAGACAAACGAAAACCCATATTAAATCACTAAAACCCACAAACCTTCAGCCCTATGGTGCTTGGAATGCTTGTGAGATTTCTTGCTCTTCAACTTCTCTTTCTTATTGTTTTTACTGCTCTTCTTTTCCTTATCGTCCCTTGTTCTATGCTTTTTGCGTTTCCCTTCATCTGCGAAAATCCAAGAAATTAATCACTGGAATGAAATGAAATGAAATGAAAATACAGATAAAGCAAAGGTTGCTACAGACCATCAGACTCAGTAGAGGGTCTTTTCTTTGATTTCTTGTCGCTCCCCATTTTTCGGTTTATTTGGTTTAGTGGAAAGGAGGCTATTTGCTTGTAAATTTACTGTGTATTTAATATTTGGCCTATTTAGAGATTCAATCTCCGAAAAAGTACGGACAGACTTAACGCAGATCTGTGAATGGAGTGTATCCATGCCCTCCCTCGGCATCAATTCCAAGCTGGCACTTACCAAATTGTACTTTGAATTTAAAAATTTTGACCTTGGGTTGAACCGTCATTCTCCCTTCAATTTCCTTCATTTTTTATTTTTTATTTTTTTTCGGAAATTCCTGATGGACTTGATCATACCTTAACTTTAGGTTGCCTTTGATTGCAGTGCAATTTTATTTGCACTAATACAAAAAAATAAAAATTTTGGTTAATTTTGTTTTAAGTTTTACCTTATTCTCTTCATGTCTTAATTTACTTCATTTGTATTGCAATCAAACAAAATAACCTAAAATTTGAAAGAAAAATAGGTCAGAATTTACACTCAAATCATTTGCCCTGCCATAACTTTGCAGCAATACAAATTAACACAGCCTTAGAGATTGTTTCAAGTCAGTCCCCGAACTTTGAAACGTGTCTATACAGTACCAAAACTTTCAGAATGTGTCTAATAGGTCTCTACCATTAATAGTCCGTCAATTAATTTTGAAAGTGTCAAAACTACCCATCAGGTGTCATCTAATTTTCTTTATCTACCACTTTGTATAAACCAATTTAAACAAAAGCTTCTTTATGGCAAGGTTCCAAAACACCAAAGTTCCATCTTTGGGCTCAGTCAGGAAGGCCCACGCATATGAATCCCATCCATGCACATTGTAAAGCATTTGGAGATCAATGGTCTAGGAAGATGGGGGTATAGAGACAATGAGAGATTCCAACTAGGCACGTGTCCTCGTAACTGTTGGATTTTAATTTCATTAGAGATTAAATCCAATGGTTATGATTGGTTTGTTTTAAGTTTTTTAATAGAAACTGATTTACACTCCTTAGAAATAGTAGAGGAGAGTATGGAGGCTTGCTACCACGCAACACGCGTGTATGCGGCGCAATGAGGTGCTTCAGAGGCACACTTTGTGCGCACCCGTGTGGCTCGCGAAGGGCGGCTTTGGCCTTTTGGTGCGATGTTGACCGTTGATGTGATCAATGGCCATGATTCGATTAGTGTGATCAAGAGACACAATTCAAAGTTAACAGTCATTAACTGTTAACTACCTTTTAAACAATCACAATGTTTGAAACTGTGACTGCTCAATGTGCCTTTCTTTAAACTAGCACCTACTTTTTCTTGATAACTCTTCAGAAACTATTTTAGGAGCATGAATCAGACATTTCGTATACAACATTTTCAAAAATCACTCACTCTCTCTCTTTCTCTCTCTCTCAATCTGGTATGCTACAGTCTCACAGAAGGTTTCTTCGGAGACTCTTTAGCTTTGTTGGTTGCATATTCTCGCCCAAGGCTCTGTTGTATATTGGAAACGAATTTTCCTATAAACCAACAACAAATTCAGTGAAACTGAGTGGAGGTAAATAACGTTTGAAAAACAGTGTCTTTAGACGCGCTTCAGAGTTTCTCCTCCAAGTTTCAATGAGCCAATTTCCCAACAATAACGCTGAAGGTGACAAAATAAAGGATCCCTTCTCAAGCTTGATGTCCTGGCTTATCTCTGTGTCATTGCTAAGCCAACACTAAAGCAGTAAATCAAGCTACCAATAGATTAACAAGAGTCTTGCCATGTCCAAAATCGCAACTACAAAACTTCAAGCTCTCTAGGATAGAATAGAAGACAGTAAACGAAGCAAAGCGACAGATCTTGGTTGCCTAAAGGTCAAAGAATCAAGTGATGAAATAAAAACTCATAATAACGGGGGGAGTTGATACCAAAGCATCTTCTCTTATTAAAAAACAAACACATGAGAAGTGAACCCCAAATATTTCTACAAGTAAATAGACTAACTATTGTTGCTCATCATCGCACTTAGGAGCTGCTTTTTGATATTGTTTGTGCCATCACAATGCATGTTTGATGTCCACAACGTGAGGTTATCACGAAGCAGTTGCATGATCAAAGTGCTATCCTTGTAAGACTCCTCACCCACTGTGTCTTTCTCTGCAATTGCTTCATCAAATGCCTGTTTCGTAAGATTACAGTCTCGATTAAGAGAATTCAAGATCTCGTAGTCAAAGGCAAAGAAGTTAAGAGACAACCCTAGTCAAATGTGATGTGTTGGAGCTAGTTCTGCATTTGTGATATCCTGTGCCAACTTATCAGTCTTTAACTCGCCTCTTTTAGGTTCAGCAATCATCGATTCTGAGTAGTTATGAGGCTGAATGTTTAGCTTCAAATTGATGCAATTCAGGAAAAATTTGGCAAGACCTAGATCAAGAATGTTGTTGTTGATTTTGCCAGTGATCTTTCCAATGGCATTAAACGGATTTATGAGGTTAGCTACGAGTAATTTAATAATCAAATTAAATAGCTAATTAAGGTTAGCTATGACATTCAACATCGAGTCCACATTATTTAGAGCTTCTGCCATGGTCAGGAACGCCACCGACGTATCAACATGTTCTCTGTCAACAACGTCCGTAACAAATAGAGAGAGAGATTGCTCTCATTTAATTTAATTTCAATGAAGAAGATAATGAATAGTGTTTTCTTTAAAAGGTAAAAGAAAGAACAGTGTCTTCTTTTAAGGGTAATTTTGTCAATTTTAAAAGTTTCAAGTGCCACATGTCATCACATGATATAAATAACTGATGGACTGTTAATGGTAGGGACTTATTAGATACATTCTGGAAGTCGAGGTACCGCATAGACACAGGTTGAAGTTCAGGTACCAATTGGGAATTTTCCCTTTTTTTGATATCTTTTGAAGGTTTACACAACTAGGAGTATTTGATCCCAAGTCTCTGCTATGACCTCAGGTTTTTTTATTGGTTTCCCAAATGTATTTATTTACCCATACCCCTTAGGCACATCATCTCCACATAGAGATATGAAAATGTCCAAAATACCCATGTAGTTACTTTTCACTAAAATGTTTATTCTTCAAATTTTCTCTTCATATGAATTGCTAGTCTAAACCCTTCCAATCTCTTTAATGAAATTGATTTATTTTCCAAATTTTCTCTTCACATCAATTGTTCAAAGGTAAAGTTGCAACTTTAAATTCTCTTTTTTTCATTATTATTGCTTTTCTATAAAAACCAGCAACCTCTGTAGTAATTGCATGGGTATTTTTAACATTTATGTGTCTCTTGTTAGAGGATTCTAACAAAGGGGGTCTACTTGCAACTATATTAGAAAGTTCAAGGGCAATTACTAAACTTTAGTGGAGGTTTCAACAATAGTCAAAAACTTTAGGGGAGGTGTCAACAAGTAACCCTTTCTTTAACTTAAATTATTTTGTTTATGAACAAAAAAAAAACTTTAGGTGATGTTCGGTACCATTGCCTATTCTTTGGATGATATTTTCATATATCATTGAAATTATTTTTCATAAATTTGAGAATACTTTTGTTTGATATAATTGATGCCATATTAATGGTGATTTTTATTTTATGGAAAATATTTCCTTTATCTACATTAGATGTCATGTCATCCAAAAAATGGGAACTGACCCAAAAAGAAAAATCATTGAAAATGGTGATTCCTCTTTTAGGCCTCATTTTAATAATCATTTTTTGAGTGATTTGAGAAATCGACCAACCAAACAAAATAATCATCATTATTTTTTAAACGATGTGGCTCTTATGTGGCACCAATTTCTAAAAAATGGACAATGGTACCAAACATCACCTTAAATTACCTCCTCCTCCTTCTCCTCCTCCTCATCATCATCATCATCCATTCCTTATCCCAACTATATGGGGTTAGATACATGAGTCCTATTCTTCGTTCTTTTTAAAACCATGTCCACTATTAAATTATTAGTGATTAAATCTGTTTTAGTTTGAAATCATGCAACAAATAAAAGGATATAGAATAGCTAGGAACCAAATGAGCCAAGGCGACTAGACAAGTTGAGTTGCTTTTGAAGACACCTACAAAAGAGAGAGAACCCTAAGGTGTGTCCTTTTGGTGAACTCTCTGATGGTTAAGAAATCACCAAATCGAGTCAGGGAGGTTCATTGGTGAGGAAATAAAGATGTGGTTTGGATGTTGAGAATAGACTCTATTGTGTACCTTTATATATAGGCATGCCTTTGTGTGTCCAAGTGAGAGTAACTAGTCGACTCGACAATCGAACCAATTAGGATCAACGGGTTTTTTGGTTTGGCTTGGGACATGTAGCGGCTTAGAGTTTGGCCACCATATAAGGGCCTCGTCACTTACCCCCTAGTTTTGAGACTGAGGTGGTTTATTTCTTGCTCATACAATGAGAGGTTGGCTAACACAGGTGCTATCATTAATGTGCCATTTCATCTTTCAACATGTCTTGTTAAAGTGACCCCTAAATCGTAGGATGTGTGGGAACTATCAAATCAGGGTGAGATCTAGGTCATTGATTGGGAATTGATTTTGAAATGTTGAGGCTACTGTATAAGGGATGAGTCCCAAGTGACTAGGACTTTGTCTTTTCTTATGGAGCTTGGGAAAGTGGAGTAGGTTGTGGCCAACGAGGCCCATTATGGCCAAGATCAAGGAGACTAAGGCCTATAGTCCCCAAGTTGGGGAAGGATCTATTCTTGAGGTTGAGGCCAAGGGGGCTAAGCTTTAGAGTCTAGTAGAGGATGTAGATCCCGAGATTGGTGTGGAGGTTGAGGTTAGGACTATCAAGGCATGTGGTCCCTGTACTAGGGATGAGTCAATTCCAAGGGATAAATCCAATGGGGCCAAGGCAACGACACTGAGGTTGAAGTTGTCAATGTGGACAAGGAGGAAGATGTTCATGAGGTTAGGACATCGAGGGCAGTCGTTCATGTCAGCAATGAGTTGGCTAGGGAGGATGCTTAGCTTATTAGGAGTACATTGAGACTAGAGATATGGTGAGGATATGTTTTCAATATCATATACCTGAGAAAGTTTCAGATGAGGGTGTCAACTAAGGAG